GGGAGGGGGGAGTTGGGGGCACTCTGGGGGGAGGGGACTGATGGAGAGAAGGGGGTATGGAGCAGGTTGGGGTATCCGGAGGGGGGGACTGATGGAGAAGAGGGAGCAGGGGGTGCTGAGGGTTGGAGGCACATTTTGGAGCCAGCTGGGGCTGAGTTTAGGGGCAACTGGGGGGGCTCAGTGTCAGAGCCTGGGATCCCCAATGTGGGGGTCAGTCCCTGCATATTCTGTGGCTGGCCTGGTTGCCCCGGAGCCTGTTCTTCCCTGTCTTTTCAGTGCTGCGGCCAGTTCAGACTGGTTTTGGCTGTTGCATGGTGGGTGGTGGTGGTCTGTGTGGGGTGAAGAAGGGTTATGGTAGCTCATGTGGACAGGGCAGGACTGCCCCTTGTGCCAGGTGACACTGGGGTCTGTGAGTGGGGAAGTACCTGAGGCGGCCAGGGGTTGTGCTCTGCCTGTCATTGCAGCATTAGGGGTGAGTCCTACTCCACACTCACAGCTCAAGCTTCCTGTTAGTAAATGGGGTCAGACCCTCCATGCTGGGGGTGAGCCAGGAGGAAGGGACCTTATAAGTTGGGACTTGCTCTAGATCCAGGAATCACAGGCAGCCCTGGTGCTCCGGACTTTCCTCATGGCCATCTCTTCCTCATCATCATTAAAGTGGGTTCTTCTCTGAAAAGTGACTATAGAAATGCCTTCTTCAAATGGGGCTGAGTCTCCTCTAGAGCAGTGGCTCTCAACCAGAGGTACTTGTATTCCCTGGGGGTATGCAGAGGTCTTCCAGGAGGTAGGTCAGTTCATCTTATTTGTCAAGTTTACAACAGACTCTAGAGCCCTGCAGCAGAACTGGGGTCTGGTGGGTCCTGCAGGACCCACTGCCATAACAGTGGGAGAGGGATAAAAATTCAACAAACAAGGTGGGAGTGGATATTGCAGGGTGGGACAGGAGCAGGATTTTAAAAATAGCCCTCCAGTGCTGCAAACAACATGAACACCCTGGCCAAAAGCCACCACTCTCCAGCTGCTCAGCTCTGAAGGTGCTACTGCCAGCAGCAGCATAGAAGTAAGGTTGGTATGGTATCGCCACCCTTACTTCTGTGCTGCTGCTGGTGGTGGCACTGCCTTCAGAGCTGGGCAGCCGGAGAGGTTTTTATGTGAGGTGGAACTTGGGATACGAAAGACAAATCAGACTATGAAAGAGGCACAGTAGTCTGGAAATGTTGAGAACCACTGATCTAGCCTGACCAACGAATCTTCCCACAGATATTTGAGGTAGAGACCCTGAGCTTAGGAACTGAAATAAAGTCCAAGTTTTCCAAAATGGCCACTGATTTTGGAGTTCCAAAGTTCTTGAAACCCAGGCCCAGGCTGTCTCAAATAGGGCAGCCAAAATCAGTGGAACACCACTTTCACAGTTGCTCTTCAGAGCAGATCTGCACTCCAATGTAGGGTGAATCCATCATTTGCTCAAGCTGGATGGACTCAAAATGATCAAGAATGTCTGAGACTCAACAGGCATAGATAACCAGATTGGTACCCTTGTAGGGGCCCAAACCTCTCCTGCCTTCAGTTCTGCAGATAGACTGATAAGTTGGATGATTCTCCATTCTGCAAGCTCCTGTATTTCTTATTGGAGCCACCTTAAAAAGGAGGTCTGCCTTGTCCTCTCTCTCCATCTCGCTACAGGTGGCAGGCAGGGCACTGGGGTTGCCATAAAAATGGGCACTGAGCAGGCAGTGGGAGACATCTCCTACTGTGGTTTCACCCAGGCTGTGCTTTCATACCTGCTGTTCATCAGGTAGAACGGACGCAGCGCTGAACACTCCCCTGGAGTGCAATATACGCAGTAGAGAGACCATAACGCCAGGTTCAAGTGCATGTGTGCTCCCTTCCCTCCTGGGCTGCTTGACATTGACTCTCTGAATTTCATTCTGCAGAGCTTAGTTTTACGCCTCAGTGGCTTCTATTTAGCATGTAGTTTTGCACATCTGTCAGAGCAGATATCTGTACTTGAATTCTGTTCCATGTAGCCCCTACTTGCAAGTAGCAGCCATGAATATCTAATTCTATAAATATTGACACATGGGGATGAACTTAAGAGTCCTGTTTTCAATTTGTTACAGGTTTAGATACTAGAGAAATAAGTCCTCACGTGTTGCAATGGCTCCCACACTTGCTACTGCGCATCGGCGGCGCTGGTGGATGGCATGCACAGCTGTTGTAGAGAATCTTCTCTTCTCTGCTGTTCTTCTGGGCTGGGCATCACTGCTCATCATGCTGAAATCCGAAGGATTTTACTCCTACCTATGTCATGAACCAGGTAAGGAAGAAGTCTGGGGGCTGTTCACATGAATTCAGCTGAGTCTGTTGTTCTGGAGATTTGACTGTGATGTATGTCAGGGTTGGGGCATGGCAAAGAAGCTCGCAGTCTGTGTGTGCTGGTGTGAAGAGCGCCTATGTGATTAGGGTTGATGCACTGATCAGACCTGGAGGAATGCATTCTCCCTCCCTAGATTCTCTTGGAGACTTGCTGACATAACATTTGTATATAATATCTTTGGTGTGTCATGTGCTTTGCAGAGAGAGTGAAGATTGGGCCTTGTCCTGAGGATCTTACAGTCTAGGCAAACACAAGACTCCTAAGCTTTCCTATACTGTCTTTCCTCTACCTTGCCTCTCTAGCTGGGGTCTTGCTGATCTTTCAAAGAGAACGTTCAGATATGCTGTTGATTAGCGTTTATGGAAAGAGGTGGGTGTGGAGAAGGAGTGTGACAAAACAGGGAAGATGCTCTAGGTGTACAAGAGAAGCTCAGGGCTGCTTATGGTATGAGACAAAAGGGGATGGAGGAAAGCAGAGCTGGTGGGGTGCAGCACATGAGCAGGAGAGTCTGGGGAAAAGTCATCGGGCCCACCTTTAACTACACCCTCTCTTGCCCACACATCCAGGCTTTGGCCAAATCCTGCTACTTCTCCCTTCACAGTGTTTCTGAGATCTGTCCTATTTCTTTCTGTCCAACTAGTAGGAATGTTCATCTAGACCACCTCCGCCTCTCCCCACAGTTACTGTAACCTCTCACCATTGGTCTCCCTGGGTGCATCTACACAGCCCTTGACAGTTAGTCTTAGAGCCCTGGTCAATAGACTTGGGTTTGGGTCATGCTAAAAATAGCTGTGTAGACATTGTGGCTCGACTCTTGAGATCATCCCACTCCCTAGGCTTCAGAGTCTGAGCTCCAGCCCGAGCTGCAACCTCTACACAGCTATTTTTAGTGTGTCAGCCCGAGCCCCACAAGCTTGAGTCTGTCAACCTGGGCTCTGAGACTTTCCGCTGTGGGCTGCCACTCACTGTGTACATGTATCCCAAAATGCTGATGCCACCCCCTACAGTCCATTCAGAATGCTGCTACTGAGACCATCTTCCTTGCCCAGCACTCTGACCATTTTGCGTGCACACCTTTGATCCTTCTACTGGCTCCCCCTGCTTCACTGCATCAAGTTCCTGTCTGTTATCCTCACCTCTGAGTACTTTCACTGCTCCCTACTACTTCTCTCTTGTCTTGTATAGCATCACCTGCTCCGCCAGGAGTGCCAATCTCTGGTGAAGGGAAGTGATGAGCCAAGAACTACTCTGTAGCTGCCCCTGTTCTATGGGGAGGATGCTAGCTGGATTATCAAATGTGATGGAGGAATATGGGAGATGAGATTGGGAGTGGAGAGGAGAGGTGCCCCTAGTCTGAGCAAGGAGGGGTTTGTGAGCTGAGGATCAGCAGAGGGAATGGGAGGATGGCCTTCACTTTGGAGAGTTCTCTTCTGAGAAACTTGACAAGATCTTGGGCTGAAAGAGAAATGGGCAAAGGAGGTGGCACAAGTTTGAGGAGCAGCAGTGCTGTGATGGGGATTGTAGATGTGTGGAGCCAGTCAGGGAGGGGAGGGAACTGGTTGATGAGGCAAATGGCAGAACTGAAAGAGGAAAAAACAAACTTTAATGCACATGTTAAGCAGCATCCTTGGAGTCTCTCCAGAGATGATTTGGCCATGCATGAATCAGGGAAGCTGATGTGGGGCAGAGTCAGGGCTGGGGGTTGTTGGGATGAATGGAGTAGTGGGGGGGGCAGGAGAAGAGGAGGTGAAGGTGAGTATGGAGAAGAGGGAGTCTCTATCAGGATCGGGGCTGAGAGCAGCAGAGAAGTCTGAGCTGGTTGACTGGTGGTTGTGGAAGGAATATGGTCTGGGGGGAGTGAACAAAACTTAGGGAAGAGGTGACTGTGAGAGTGGATGGCTGAAGGACCCTCCTGTCCTAAACTAACAACATACAGCAATGCTACACCCTAAACATCTGCCTCTTTCACCCTAGCTTGGCTGCACTACAATGCTGGCTAAAATGTTTCATTTCATGTACTATATACATTATGATTGTAAAATGCTGCAAGATGTCCTAGTCTTACAGTTTTGTGTGTTGCATTTTTCCTGCCATCTAGTCTAAAACTTATAACCATTAATAACCTCTGTAACTGTGCAGATTAAGAGAACAAAGGTAGTAAAATACCATCCTGCATGACAATCTGATTACCTGTAGTGGGTGGGAAGGAATTCACATATACAGTTGGTTAGGTTCATTCAGGGTAGCTTGACTGACTTCTTTTTGGAGTATCTAGCATTTACCAGCTTAAGAGGCAGGGTACTGAACTAGCCCATGGTCTGATCCATCACATCCGATACTTACACCTTATGGCCCTGACTGAAACAATTTATCTCCCTCCTTCATGTGCTGTTAGGTGGTTATCACAGTTGTGTGATAGTATAGGAAGCTGTGCGAATAAAGCTCTGTTTATTCATGCTTCTCACCCCAGCTGTTGCTTATCTGGGATATTTATGTTCCTACCTCCATTTGTTAGGTGACACCGCTAAGGGTGTGTCTACACTAAAATTAAATGCCCATGGCTGGCCTGTCAGCTGACTCAGATTTGCAGGATTCGAGCTATGGGGCTGTTTAATTGCATTCAGGCTCCTTCAGCTGACATGGGCCAGCTGTGGGTGTTTAATTGTGGTGTAGACATGAGCCCTTTCATTATTTACAGAGGGATAGCTCAGTGGTTTGAGCATTGGCCTGCTAAACCCAGGGTTGTGAGTTCAATCCTTGAGGGGGCCATTTAGGGATCTGGGGCAAAAATCTGTCTGGGGATTGGTCCTGCTTTGAGTGGGGTTGGACTAGATAACCTCCTGAGGTCCCTTCCAACCTTGACATTCTATGATTCTATGTTTTCCATGGTACTTCCCTGTGCACAAGGTATAAAGAGTTAATTGCCAATTAGCCATTCACTTTTTTTTTTTTAAATCCACCATCCAGTTCTTCTAAGCTTCCTGGGTTGAGTTAATTATTCTAGAAAATTCCATTTTATATGATCATGAAAGACAGCAGGTGGTATTGCAAGTATTCTCTCAGCTGTCTGTGCCGGTGAGTTGAGGCTCAGCAGATCTACATGGAATAACCTAGTTAACTTCTCCAGAGTTCCACCTCTTTAAACAGAAACATTGGATTTTTATCCTTTCCCCTGCATCAGGCTCCTCACGAGCTGGAGCTGGGATGGGATGTACTTTAGTTTTGTAATTCATGCAGTCTAACCTCTTCCCCAAGAATAGCCACTCTCCAACCCTTCCCCAAATTAGCCAGGACCCAACTTTATTGTGAGCCCCAAGTAATCCTTTTTGATTTTTTTTTTCTTTTTTTCATCTTCTGCCCATCCTGCCCTTCTCCCCCCCCCCCCCCCCCCCAAATTCCTCCCAACTCAGTGATATTCTAACATACTTTCTGTCATGACAGTTTTCCGTACCATAGAAATTGCCAGACTAGTTTAAAACAATGGTCCACCTAGTCTGGTCTCCAAGAGTGGCCAATGCCAGATGTTTCAGAGGAAGGTGTTAAACCTCCATCCTGGACAATGATGAAATAGCTTGCTCACAGGAGAAGTTTTTTCCTCACCTTATCAATAGTTAAATCCTGCCTCAGTGCATAAGCCATATCTTTTATATAACTACTATCTAATATAACTAGATGTTCTCTTTATCTGTATAAATGTCTGATCCTTTTAGAATTCTGCTAAATTCTTGGCCTTAATATCTCGTGGCAGTGAGTTCCATAGACCAATTATGATCCATGCTCTTTCTTTCTCTCTCTCCCTCTTTCCACCCTCTTCTATCCTAGGAATTCTTTATTCTGATGCCTATAATCACAACTACTAAATGGGGGAAAGATGTATAAGCTCAAAGGCAAGTAGGTTCCCAAAGATCTTGTTTGGTTTTTGGTCACTCCCAGACTCCCCTATAATTTTCCTTCAGTTTCCCTGTGTGATAGGAACTATGCTACAGTGATGGATACTGTTATAAGAGCCTCAATAGATAGGCAGATGAGAGAGGTGGGCTGAATTCAAGTCTAAGCTCATTGATTGATTTAACTGGCGTTATGCGGTGTAGGTGACCCCTTTCCCCAGCACTACCCAGTAATATTTACAACCAGTAGCCCTTTCCAGGATAGTTAGAGATAAATGGAAGAGGGATTTCTAGCTAAAGATTGGCAGGGGAATGAAATTTATAACTTTTAACCTTTGAACATTTGTCATTCAGACTCTGCTGCTCACACGTGTCTATTGCATAGAAAATTTCCTAATTAGCTAAAGATTACTAGCAGGGCTTTCCCTCTCATCAGCAAAAACTCTGTTCCTTGTGATCCCTTCAGACTAAGAGAGTTAGACCTTGTCCCCTTTGCAGCCTCGTTTCTGGAGATTTCAACATCAGTCCTGAAAGGGGCTGTAATTCAGAAAAAGGCTGGTGTTTTTCATAGCAGAAATCCTTCCAGGTATGATATAGATCTCCATTCAGATGCTCTGCCAAGGGGGAGACTATGGATTCCTTGGTAGCTTTATTTTAAAAAGGAAAATGGGGAGGAATTCCTGAAAAAGTAAGAGAATCAAAGTAACAAACTATTTAGGCCAGGTCTACACTATAAACTTGCATCAATATAACCGTCACTCAGGGCTGTGAAAAATCCACACCCCTGAGTAACACAGTTATACCAGACCAGTGTAGACAGCACTGTGTCGACAGGAGGGCTTCTTCCATTGACGTAGCTACTGTCTCTTATGGAGGTGGATTAACTCTGACAGGAGAGTTTCTCCCACCGGCAGAGTAGTCGTATCTTCACTGAAGCACTACAGCGATGCAGCTGTGCTGGTGCAGCTGTGCAGCATGTTAAGTGTAGAACTGCCTTAGGAAAGAGTTCTGTGATGAGGTGGGGGAGTGGAGGACTCCTGTCCTGGGCTAGAT